CTCTCTCTCTCTCTCTCTCTCTCTCTCTCTCTCTCGTCGAACGTCTAAGTTAACACGGCGGGAGGCGGACGACGTCGAGGGAAAACGTGGAGGAAGAGGGGAGGGCGGGGAGGATAGACATCGATTCGACAGCGGCGACCTTTTTCTTGTTCCCTGTTTTTTTGTCGGGACGGTCTCGTTTTGTTTCTTGGACGACTCGGGGCAACGAAGACGCTTGGGCATGTTGGGCGGGAGACCCATAAGGAGGCAGAGGAGGAAGAGGAGAACGAGGGCCGGTGGGGAAGAGGACGAGCAGTAGTGAACAGGAGTTGGGACAACGGGGAGGACAAGCAGTATAGAATTGGAGTTGGTGCAACGAGGGGCAACGAGGAGGACAAGTAATAGAAGAGGAGGACGGGACAACGGGAAGGACGAGCGAGGTTGAAGAGTATTTGGGGCGACGAGGGCCAACGAGGAGGACTAGCGATATAAGAGGACAAGCCATATATAAGAGGAGGACGAGGGCCAACGAGGAGGACGACGAATGATATCAAGGAGGTGGAGGAGGAGACGGAGGAGGAGGGGAGGCGAATTAGATGCGTACCTTCATTGATTCAATGCATGAATGATTGCAATCGTGTATAATTGTTTTTTCTTTTTTGGATGTCCTGCAGTCACGTTTCGGTTTGTCAAAACTTTTTGCCACTTTTGCGGCGTGATGTTGCTGAATGATTGACTGATTGATTGATTGGTTGATTGACTGATTGATTGATTGATTGATTGATTGATTGATTGATTGATTGACTGGTTGATTGGTTCGTTGGTTGATTGATTGATTGATTGACTGGTTGATTGATTGACCGATTGATTGATTGGTTGATTGAATGATTGGCCGAGGAAACTGAATCGTCAATGCTGCTGTTCATTGAGGTGGGATTAACGGACCCCATGTGGGGTGGCGAAATGCTACCCGTTTTTTTCCAGGAGGGAATGATTTGTCAATGCCACCGTCAATGGCGCCGTCAATGCCCCTTTTTTTCTCGCCTGCTGTGGGGAACGGAACTGCTGGCACTGTCATCTTTGTCATCTGATCTCATGGAACTTCCCAAGCCCACAGGGGTGGCGAAATGCTGCCCGTTTCTAACCTTGCATTCTTTGGGGAAAGGAACTATCGGCTTTGTTATCTTTGTCTGGCGAAATGCTGCAGTCAATCAATCAATCAATTAATCGATCAATCATTCGACCAATCAACCAATCAATCAACCAACCAAATCGACTGATTGATTGATTGATTGATTGAATGAATGAATGATTGAATGATTGAATGATTGATTGATTCATTGATTGACTGATTGATCGAATGATTGATTGATTAAGGTACGGATAGGGGGAGGTAGAGAAAGGGGGGTGGGTGAGAGGGGGATGACCGACTCTAACAATGTCATGGTTGTTCAACTTGGTTTCCCACTTTCTTTGCCTCCAGGATGACGAAGAATCGTACCAAGTCTGTGAAGAGGCACTACACGGAGTTGGGCTTCATTGGAGATCCAAGTCTACACACCATGATGTGCTGTTTTTTTTTTTGTTTTTTTTTTTGGTCGGTCCGGACATTTTCGGCTTCCGGGGCACCTGTGCAGACGGTCCGGGTCCGGTCCTGTCCGGTTGTCCAGTGCCTGTCCGGATTGCCNTTTTTTTTTTTTGTCGGTCCGGACATTTTCGACTTCTGGGGCACCGGTCCGGACGGTCCGGGTCCGGTCCTGTCCGGTTGTCTCGTGCCTGTCCGGATTGCCGGACGTCTGGACCGGTCCGGACAAATGTCCAGGCGTCAGTCCAGACATGTCCGGGTCCGGGTCCGCGGTTGCCATGTTCTACTTACTTAGTGACCTCGTGATGATGCTAAATTCCCCCGATTTGTGAAATGATTAAAGTTATGTTTAAATGTTTAAACTTGCTTAAACTTTATTCCTTTTTATTTGTGCAAATTTAAATATTCTTTAATTAAATATTTAACTTTTGCAAAATCAATTATTGCAAATTCAAATATTCTTTAATTAAATATTTAATCTTTTGCCAAAATTAAATTTTATTAATTCGTATTTTTCCGATTAAAAAAATATTTAATTTCTCAAAATTCGAAATTTTCGAGGAAGGGGGGGGAATGTTTTTTTCTTCTGTTCTCTTTTTGATTAGTGTCAAATATTCGAGGTCAGGGGAGAAAGGGACTGTCTGTGCATTGTTTGCCTCTCTGCCCTTCCTCCACCCCTACCTTCTCTCTCTCCTCCTCTCGGTACTACGGACGTCAGTCTCCGGCCACGTCAGCATTGTGCCACATCAGCAGTGGGCCACAAATGCAGATTGCCACATCAGCCGCGTACCACCTCAGCATGCCACGACAGCCGAGTGCCCAGTCAGCAGCGGCCACCTCAGCAGTGCCACATCAGCGGTGACACGTCAGCAGCAGACGAAAACCAGAGTACTTAATGCGCCGCAGTCAACGACTTGCAGAGCGCGGATCCGCAGGAACCAAGCCCCAACAGGGACCTAAGACACCTCGGATCCCGGGCAGGCGACGCACGACCATGGCTGCTACCGCTGACGTCAATGCACAAGCCAGCCCCAAGAGGCCGGTAACCCCTCCTATCCCAGTTTAGCAGGCCGATGAACCGCTTCTGGCGTTTCTCAAACGTCTCCAGTTCTACTCGGAGACCACGCAGCTGAACTGAGCAAGTGGGAAGAGGAGGAAGCCGCTCGCCAGCAGGAAATACAACGCCAGCTGGCAGAGGCAGAGGCAGCACGTCAGCAGGCCGCAGCAGACGCTGCAGCAGCCGCACGGTTGCAACAGCAGCAGGTCGAAGCAAGTCAGAACCAAGTTCGTTACCAAGCTACAATGGAGCTCGCCAACGAAGAAGCCACGTACCGGAGGTTACTCCGACAGCAGCATTTTCGAGCAAACGAGGAACAAGAGGAGCCGGCCGAGGACGAGAGAAACAGGAGGCCACAACATTTTTGATGGAGAACCTGCTGTACACGTGCAATTCGCAGCAACGTGAACTGTTGGCCATGCGGCAGGTCTTCATCCGCCACGAAACAACGTTTAAAGCATTGGACAAGAAGATCGCTACTATGCAGGCCGAACTCAGCACACGACACGCCACCAACAGCCAGCAGCAGACAATCAACGGCCAGCTGCAGAACGATGTCAGCACAGGGTTGGCACAACTATCGGCAGCTGCGTCGACGGGCAGCGCAGTGGCAGACTGCAGCCCAGCCTTGGCCGCGCAGGCCAAGCAACTCGAGGAGCGGATCAACCACGTGGTCGCGTCCCTCGGCGACATCAGCAAGTTTGCTGGAGCGTCGACAGTGAGCAATCAACTGCAGACGCGCAGCGACCGCGTTCAGCAACGACCGGCCGCTGTCGCCAAGGAATGGAAGATGCCGAACTTGAAGATCGAGAAGTTCGATACTATCACAAGACTGATCCACTGCAATGGTGAATGGCATTCAACGCAGAGGCGGACGTGCATCACACTCCAGCACTGCGGCGGCTTGACGCACTCTACCTCCAACTCATTGGAGGGGCGCAGGCCTTCATGACGCACATGGCGGTCACATTGGAATGTACCATCGCCACCCTCCACACCAAGATCACGTGGGAGGAAGTCGAGAAGAGATGGAAGACCCGGTTCATGGTCAACAACGACAAGCGTCACGCCTTGAACAAGATCTTCCGCATGTTTCAATGCCAGCAACCTTCACGGGAGTGGCTGACGGAGTGGCAAAGACTCGTCGCTACCCCAGAGTTGAACTTACCGTTCGACGCAATCCGGGCCGAATACTTTGCTCAGTCATGCGACGCCTCGACAACTGCTCTCGGTAGCGAATTCCAGTATGAGACCTTTGATGACATGATCTCAAAGGCAAGAGAACTAATCCAAGGTAACCGGCGCGCGGCCAACGAGGCCCGCCCACAGCCCGGTTATGTGGAGAAAGGCAAAGGTCAACGAACGCCGCAAGTAGCAGCAGTCCAACGAGGACCTAGTGAGGACCACGCAGCCGCGTCTACATCAAGTGACAGAGATGTGGCGGCAGCGATACCACCGCAACGCTCAAGACCCCGAGGGGGGGAAATTACAAGGCGAAACCAGCGTCGGCGGATGGAGCACGACAGTCACCATGGACGAAGTTCGGTATTATCGAAGACATGTTCAAGTTGAGACAGAAATGGGGATGCTGTTTGTGGTGTTACAACACCAAACACATCACAAGCGCCTGCCTCAACAAGGACAAGGAAAACGTCAAACGTCCGGGCTCGGGAAACTGAGCACCGCGGGAAGTGCAGCGACAACACTTCCCAGTCCGCCGGACTCGGCTGCCTTGCTAGCAGTCTCTCTCACGTTCGGGGACACCGTGGTAGTTGCAAGTTCTCGCATTAATTTTGACAACTATGTTGTCGAGCTGGTCCCACCGTTGAACCAGCCTCTCCACGTGCAAGATTCAAGCGCATGCACAGTAGCTCCGCCGTCGGACAACGAACTAGTTGCTTCGCCAACCTTTCTATCGGAGGATCCGTCACTTTGGGCGAGTCTTGAGGAACTCGACCCGTTGACGGTTGAGGACTTACAATGGTTGCCTCTTCCCTCCACCAGTTCTTTGCCAACACCGCATTGCAATGCCTTAGTGGCACATTTGCGCGAGTACTCGCACACTGCAGTACCACCTCCGTCGACGGACGGCGGAGTAGCGGTCGGCGATCTTTGTAACTATCTAGTGAAGATCGACCGCGTGTACGCAACACAATGATACGTCGACATCGACGCGTCGATCCTCTACATCCGCATTCAGATCGGAAAGGCGACCTGCAGTTCCTTGATCGTGCCTTGATCGATTGTGGAGCGACTCGCAGCTACATCAGCCAAGAAGGAAAAGTCAGCCTACGTACGTCATGTTGGCCGATGGTCACACGCAAAATCCAATTGACCGATGCGTTGCCTCGGTGCCCGTGTACTTTGCCCCGCTAGCATGCGAGGCGGTGTCATTCGACATATTGGACACTAAAGTTCGATATGATCTTAGGCATGTCGTGGCTGCAAAGCGAAGACCATCCGGTGAACTTCTATCGACGCACCGTTCACGTTCGTGACCGGCGTGGCGAATTAGTCCCGTGTACGGTGCCGCTTCCTCATCCTTCGATTGGTTGTCACGTGGTCTCCGCGGCGAGCATTCGCCAATCCATCCGGCGGAACGACATCGAGGAAATGGGCATATGTTTTCTTCACGCCCTCCCACCCGGTGATCAGCCCAAGACGGATACGTCGGACCCACGCATCATTGAGCAGTTGGACAGCTACGAGGATGTCTTCCAAGCTCTCGCTGGAGTAGTACCGGATCGGCCCATACGCCACGGGATCACTCTCGAGGACGACACCGTACCTCCACGCGGATGTATCTACCGCATGAGCGAAGAGGAGCTTCAAGTGCTTCGGGCACAACTAGACGACCTCTTGGCCAAGGGCTGGATTCACCCTAGCTGTTCGCCATACGGTGCTCCCGTTCTCTTCGTCCGGAAGAAGAACAAAGATCTACGGTTATGCATCGACTATCGGAAACTTAACGCACAAACAATCAAGAACACCAGCCCTCTCCCTCAGATCGATGATCTTCTCGAGCGACTAGGCGGCGCCAAGTACTTCTCGAAGCTTGACCTCAAGTCCGGATACCACCAGATCGAGATCCAACCAAGAGATAGGTACAAGACCGCGTTCAAGACGCGATATGGGCACTTTGAGTGGATCGTCATGCCTTTCGGTCTCACCAATGCCCCGGCTACTTTCCAAGCGGCTATGACGACGGAATTCCGCGACTTGCTCGACCGCACCGTACTCATATACCTTGATGATACCTTGGTTTATAGTCGGACGCTGGACGAGCACCTCGAGCACCTTCGCGCCGTGTTGGAGCGCCTCCGTATCGCCAAGTACAAGGCAAACCGTGATAAGTGCGAGTTTGCCCAGCAAGAGTTGGAGTACTTAGGCCATTACGTTACGCCGCAAGGCATTCGTCCGCTCGCGGACAAAGTACAAGCCATTCAAGATTGGTCGGACCTCAAGTGTACTACCGACGTCCACTCTTTTCTTGGCTTAGCATCTTACTACATGCGCTTTGTCAAAGGGTTTCAACGGATCGCTGCACCATTGTCGCGACTTCAGTCCCCCTTGGTGCCCTTCGAATTCAACGGCGAAGCCCGACATGTGTTTCATACGCTGAAGACGGCTTTGCTCCAAGCTCCCATCTTAAGCATCTATGACCCGACCTTGCCTACCAAAGTGGCTACGGACGCTTCCGGCTACGGCATTGGCGCGGTCTTGGAACAGCATGACGGCACAGACTGGCATCCGGTTGAGTACTTCAGCCAAAAGGTGCCACCCATCAACACTCTTGATGATGCAAGGAAGAAGGAACTGCTAGCTTTTGTCACCGTACTTGAGCGTTGGCGTCACTTTCTCCTCGGGCGTCGGCGATTCACGTGGGCAACGGACAACAATCCTTTGACTTATTACAAGACACAAGACACGGTGAGCAGCACGATCGGTCGATGGATGTACTTCATTGACCAGTTCGACTTCACCTCCAAGCACATTCCGGGCTCCTCGAACAAGGCAGCGGATGCTCTCTCGCGAAGACCAGATCTTTGCGCCTGGTGCACTCCACATTCGGCCTCGATGAGAACCTGCAACAGCATTTCGTAAACGGCTACAAGTCGGATCCGGGATTCTCCACACTCTATGCGGACTTATCAGCGGATCACCCGCCGGCAAGCAATTATCGCATTGTCGACGACTACTTGCTTCTCCATACACGAGGCGAGGACTTGTTGTGTGTTCCCCAAGACCGCATCTTGCGCACTCGCCTCCTTGGCGAATACCACGATTCGTGGCTGGCGGGCCACCTTGGCGTCGCAGCGATTTCACTGGCCGGACATCATCAGCGGCGTCAATCGGTACATTCACTCATGTGCAATTTGCCACCGGAACCAAGGGCGCCATCAGCTCCCGTACGATGAACTAAAACCATTGCCGATTCCTCGGGAACCGGGTCTCTCCATTGCTATGGATGTGACCGGCCCTTTCCCTCGCGATCGCCTCGGCCATGACGGTATTCTCACGGTCGTTGATCGTTTGAGCAAGTACGCTCAATTTCTTCCATGCAAGTATCATGCGACGGCTCCCGAGCTCGCACGACTTTCGCATACCGGCTGGTTTTGCAGCCACGGCGTTCCGGAAGACATCGTTAGCGACCGCGACACTCGTTTCATGTCAGCCTTTTGGACGACACTCATGGTGGAATCCGACACCAGCATGAAAACGAGTTCCGCACGGCATCCTCAAACGGATAGGCAAACGGAACGTGCGCACTGGAATGCGCAAATGATGCTCCGCACACTCATCCGCGCGGATCAGAAGGACTGGGTTGACCGCCTTCCCGACATCGAGTTCGCCTACAACACACTTCGGTGCACCCGGCGATTGGCGTGACTCCATTCGAGTTGCATCACGGTGGACGGAAAGGACGTATCTTCGCAAGCATTTTGCTTCCACGGGCTGCCGATATTGACGCCGCTTGCTCCCCCGCTTCCACACGGAAGTACAGGGAACTGCTGTCCAAAAGCAAGCCCGCGCAAACATGCAAAAGGCTCAGGTCCGTATGCAGCAGCAAGCGAACCGGCGTCGTGGCGACCTAGTTTCGGTCACCTCCGAGGAATTCGCGCTCGAGCAGGACATCTCGCGCAAGCTCCTCCCTAAGTGGTTTGGACCATGGAAGGTCGCTTCAGCAGTTGGCGACGACCCCCCGGGTCCATCTTTCATTATCGAGATTCCTCTGCATTTGACGGTCCCCCCAATATTTCACGCTTCAAAGTTGGCGGTCTACACTCCAACCTCCGCAGCGGACTTCCCGGGCAGACGGTCACACGACCCTCCTTCAATGGATGGTCACCAGGAGGTCGATCGCGTTCTCACGCATCGCAAACATGGCAACAAGCCAATGCAGTACAAAGTTACATTTAAGCAATGCGATCTTGACGACACACGCTGGATTTCACGAGCTGACCTGAAGGCGACAGCGCCCCTCATCTTCGCGCATTACGAAAAACAACGACTTGCTAAGGAAGCTGCCCAACCTGCCCGCCCCGTACGGACATCGGATACACAGCTTCGCCCTCTCAGTTAGCTCGGTCTTCAAGAGGGGGAGTGTGTGGCATTCTGACACGGGCCCCAATTAGGGCCCAGTTCCAAATAGGCAGGGTAGGCCTAGGGGACGACGGTTCAGATGAGGCCCAGATAGGCCAGGACCATGGCGGTTCAGGCCGGCCAGGGCTAGAGGCCCAGGCCAACGGCCACAGGCCGGTACCGGTCCAGCATAGGACCTACCGGCGGCGCTGCAGAGGCTGTCGCGTTTAGGCGCCAAGTTCCAGTTTTAAAACTGGACCGTTGATCAGATCAACGGTCCAGGCCGGTAGGTTCCAGGAGGTAGGAGGCCGGCCCAGCACTACAAAAGGATGGGTACCAGCCTCACTAGGGAGGTTAGAAAGGTTGCAGTTAGTCTTCAGGATTAGCGCAACGTTTCAGCGTTAGGAGATTAGCGTAGCGCAGCAGCGTTACAGCGAACAGCGAGGAGAGACCAACAAAGCGGAGAGGAGGAGCCAGCACAGCGGGACCAGCGCCAGCGACCGGCCCAGTCCACGGCCCAGCGCCAGCCCCTGCAGCGGCACTACCGGACAGGTACCAGGGATAAAAGGCCTCGCCTTCTCTCCCTCTTCCACCTCCGCCTCTCTCTCCCTCTCTCTCTCTCTCTCTTTCTCTCTCTCTCTCTCTCCCCCCCCCCCTCCTACCTTCTCAGTCTAAGTCTACTTCTGAGTTCTCCTACGGGACTACGATGAGTATGAAAGATGGTTACGAATTCTGATGACATTGAAGACAACGACATTGGGACTATAGGTTACGACTACTTGTGGGATCTGATTTCATCTGCCTCTGGAGATGTACTTGACATTGTGAGATCGATATCTGAGACATTGTGGGACATTGTATTCACGACATTTCAGACTTTCGCCATCTCTCACATTTCAAGATACTATCTTTGGAAACGTTGAGTTGACACAATCTTCCCTCTCCTCCTCCCTTCGTCTCTCTCCTTCCTCCATTCGTCCGTGGATGATCTCAGACCCTGGCCTTTCGTCTATGTCCAAGGCCAGGGCTTTCACACCACTGATGAATGATTAAGAGTGTTCGATTGCAGTTCGGGTCAGGTCAGAGTCAGTCCATGGGTATCAACTCTTCCGCTGTATTTGTATCAACTTTGTTATCTGGTCGGTTCTGGGAATCTGCGCCATACTTATGACTGTGTTTCACGAGTATGCAACAATGACGCATCTTCATAAATACCAAGCGCGAACACCAACCTATCGAATCACAAACACTATACCACTCCGTCTGTCTACAAAGCACATAAGCTATCCAACTTCATTCGTCTGAGAATCTCTATCCACCTTCTCACTCCCTTTCTTTGTCTACATCATCATCATCTCTCTCTCTCTCTCTCTCTCTCTCTCTCTCTCTCTCTTTGTGTGTGTGTGTGTACCTGCACAGTCACATCCGGCCACGCTGCAGCCCGGCCTGCTTGTCTTAGTCATTTGTGTCAGCACCCCCCTTGATTCTACCAAACAGTGCTTTCCTCTCATTACGATT